AATACTTAAACCAAACCTTTCACTCCCTTTGGATTTAGTGTAAGCCATCCAAAAGGTGTTGAAGACTTGGAAATATTCAAAATTCTTGTGTTATATATACGCAAATTTGGTCATATCTTATTGAGTAAGTTGCTTTTTTGTAAAATATTACTTTTGTTTCACTATTTTGTGCTATTATTTTGTATATCACTAAGTTTTCAAACATTAACTTCAAACATTATATTCACTATAAATTCTCTCACATTTATAATCTTGACAATTTTTTATATTCATCTCAAGTCTTATGATAATTATCCTATTTTTTCTTGTTTCTTTTGTAATTAAGTAATTACTGTATATTTTAGTGTAAAAATCATAAAATATTCGAGATTTCTAAAATTTCTACTAGAACAAAGTCACAAATATAAAGTTTTAATAAGGTATTTGAGAAATTTATTTTCAGTCATTTACAACAAAAAGGATTTCTGAAAATGGTTTCGGGAATACGTCTAAACATAACGACATCATTAGGTCTGACGAAAGAGCGTAGGAATCAAATCACAACTTATTGTATAATAAGATATAAGCGGATATATAAGCAAAATATAGGCACAAGTGATAGAAAAATTGTGTGCAATAAATAAGTTTATAAAGCACTTGACTTTATAATTAATAGCCGTTGCGATAAATATAGTTATGAAAACACAATTATGTCTTATGTCTGTTATTTACATTTATTTATGTCTTTCATATTTTGTTGTAGACTTCATTTTAAGCATTTCAATTAAAACTCAAATTAAATTAACTTAAAAATTTATTTATAATATAATTATTGGATAAAACACAATTAACAGCAAATTATGCTTTAATGTAATTTATATAAATGATTTTTTAACATAATAAGCGTAAACAATCGTAATGTGAATTTGCTAATCATTAATAGCCGAATAATTAGTTATTTAGATTTGAGTTATTAAATAAAAGTAATCCTTAATATTATCATTAAAATCAAAATGACTTATTTGGAGAAAACAATTTCTAAACAAGAAAATCTTATATAAAATACGATATCATTATAGATAGTTGTAAATACATGTATTATAGTTTATATGAGTCTTAATCAGACTTTTATTCTAATCTCAAAGAAGAAGTAAAACTTATTTTTTCGTTTATGATTAATTAGTAGCCAACCTAATCCTAATAGATGTCACAAAAAATGACAATTTTGGGAGTTTATGGAAACAGTAGTCCTATAAAGTTGAACATTGAAAAGGACTGTCAATCCAACTACTCATTTGCTTAACGTAAATGTTATTTAACAAATAGAAACAATACATAAAATAAGGATTAATTAATACCACAAATAAAATACTTTCTAGTAAAACAATTAACTTGTATTTTATAAAATGTCAATCAAATAGTCATAAGATTTGTTGAATTATTTTTATAACGCTTATGATATAAATTATTCAATAAACCTTTTATTGAAAATTCTTAATTTAAATGACCTTTTTTATTAAATTCTTTACATTATAGTATTACAATTTTATCTGTTAATGTTATTTTGTCTTTTTGTGTTAAATATTTGCAATTCATTTGTTAAATTAAAATTTTTAAAAATAAATATTCACATTATTTAATAATATTTATTATGTATTTTACAATAAAATGAAGTTTATAAGTTATATACTATTGTTGTTTTAATTGTAAATAAATAATATAAATTCATTTATTATATAATATTATTTATAAAACAAGACAAAGTAATTGAAAATTTTAAGATTTTAATTATATAAACACTTATGTATTTTGTTTTAAAGAATATTTTTAAATATAAGCCACAAAAATAACAAAGAATTCTATTAAAATTAAACACTTTATCTGTTTGTCAAATATTAATACAGTATTCAGTAAACAAAAGGAGTTCACAATCAGATTACGCCTTCAATGAAGGCATAAAATAATTTTCTAATAAAATGTCTTTTAAAACAAATACTTGACTTTTAAAATAATTTAATATGATCTCAATATTTTGATAAAGCCTTATTAAAACACAAATATTTATTAAAATTAGGTTATCAATATAGGAGTTAGCAATATATCCAGTTAATACATAATAAGAAAATAAAATAAGTTTAATTAAAATACAATTACGTTTAAGATATAGTTGATGTAGTGCTGTAAGTAGATGTGTTGAGTAATTTTTAAAAATAATATTATACTTCATTATAAATTCTATATTCGATTAATTTTTAACTAATTTACATTATCGATTATAGTATCATTAAATAGACTATAATATTGGTCGAGTATTTTAATTAAAATATGTCAAAATTCCTCAAATAACTCTAAATATCAAAAATTATTTTTTGTAAAAATTTGATTAGAATTCTAAATTAATAAATTCAATTTTAATTAAAAGAGTGTTAATATTAAATAGCTAGTATATTAATTTAAAATTGTATCTCAACACAATTGGCCAATAAATATGATAGTTAAAACTAAATAATTTGAAAATAACAAACTTAAACATATTTTTTAAAGAGGAGACTAATATAATTGAATTTTTAGGCATTAACTATTCAAATAGAAAGCAATTCAGAATATTCTTTCAATAGGGAGCATAACATTGGCTTAAATTAACAAAAGGCTTATTAAGTCATTACTAGAGTGTGTTTATTTTGACCTCATATTATTCTTTGATAAAAAATTATTCATTATTTCCAAATTGCATTTAAATTATAGGAAAATGTTTAAATCCACCTTGCCTTTCCGTTTATTAATTAAATTCAAGTATTCAGCGTAATACTTTTAATTCCATATAAAACATTTAACAAGATAATTTAGTAAATCGTTGATTTATTTACTTAATTAATTAAGATTATTAAACAAAACATTCAATGTTCTTAATACAATTACGTAAGTATAATATACTTATTGGTGTTTGTTACAAAGCATAAAAAGTCATGTTAAATAAATTAAGTCATACAAAAGAGTCTATTGAAATCTCTTATACGGTTAGTATAATTTTAATAAGTTTTGCATATAATTAAATATGTATTCAGTATTTATTAAGAATTATATTGAAGTCAATATTTGAATGGAAGACATAAATAGCTGTAAAGAATTGACACTTAAAAACACAATATAAATGATTCTTTAAATATTGGATAAAAAATAATAAAAAGCAATACAATGTCAGCAATTCAGTCAATACTGGACTTTGTGGCCAATTGTTGCAAAAGTCTCATATCACTGGCCGGAGAGGTGTCACCGCCCGTTGCGTTCAAATTCTCGGTCTTCTCGTTATTCTCGTCGTGTTCTGTGAGTCGATTGAATTCAATTTCTTCAGACATGGAATCAACATTTGTTCCGAGCTTTTGGACAAATCATTGCAAAATTAGTTTCTCAATAAAATTCTTTAAATCCAATCAAAACATTATATCAAAAGCGGCAAAACAAGTATAAAGTAATATCATTTGTAAAACATATTGATTGCAGTGTGAGTGTCGCCAAACATAGCATAAAAGTAACTTGTTAATACAGTACAAGTATACACACGGTAGTTTTTCAATGTATACTTACGGAATAATATACACCCCTTTCGCTTTGGTTTCTGGGGTCTCTGTAGTCTAAACATAAAATTTACTAATTATTATTTTCTATCATTCTATTGACTAACCAATATATTATAATTGTAATATTTAAGTAATATGAATTAATTATAATCATTTGAATCTCATGAAAGTAATCATTATTAGACCATTAAACCAATGGTTACCTCTTTATGTGAGGGCGCGTATAGTATTAGAAGTGTAATGACATAACAGTTCCAAAGGGCATAAACAGTGGTAAACATAGCACTTGTCCACTGAAGCGGTGCTATGAAAGAGTCCGTTGAGTCCTCCCAATGCCATTGGTCTTCAGTCACCTAATTATAAATTACACACAAATGATAAACTAATACTTTATAATAATTATAAATATGAATACCTGTCCCATAATATAGGCGACGACAGTAGAGGCCGCACAGATGAGAGTCGCCAACAGTAGGAATTTGAAGCGATAAATGATTCCTTGATATAAAAGACGACGGGTTGAGGACATCGACGGTAGACTCGATTGTTTAGACGATATGTTCCGAAACGCAAGCCTTTAGAAAAAAATTTCATTCAGTTTTGAAAAGATTAGAAAAATGCAATAATATTGAAAACAAACCAAATATGAAAGCATAAGAACATGAAGTATCCGATCGAAGCAATACTGGCTGTTATGATGAATATGAGAGCAAATCTTGAGTCCACTTCCCATATAGTGAAGAACGGGTCAAACCATTGAATGCCTCTTTCGCTCAAATCAAAGATGAAAAGCGCGATATAAGCGATGAGAACAACACTCAACTGCTTGTAATACGACGACAGACGCGACCGATGAATGCCATCCTTTAATTGCACAACACTTTAACAAATAGTTATGAATACAATGGATGGAAGGCTTACCAGAAGATGTTCGCCAATGAATATAATCCAAAATGAGAGGAGAGCGCAATGGAAGATGCCTTGTCTCAGGTCACACAGGAATGACATGAACTCGATGTCAAACCATAGGCTCAAGAATTCCAACGGAATATTGAGTTGAGTGATGGCACAGCCCAACACAATCAGGGTCTTCTCCAATAGAGTGGTCTCCCGATGCAGTTGTTGTAGTCGTTTCGTGAACCACATCAGTGTCAGTAATGTTATCAAAGTGAACAAAGTCTTCATCAGAAGCCATATCTTAGTGAAGCCTCCGTTTTGATGGATTTCCACTAATAGTAAGTCACTCATGAAACCAAAGTTCACAGAATCTATTAATACAAATTTGATTATAGCTTATGTGCAGTCATTTAAAACTAGTTCAACTGTTTGACAAACCGTTTGATACGAATTGTAAGTTAATTAAGTAATAGTCGTAATAAAGAGATTGCAATTCAAAAAGTTGTATCAAATCGCAGTCATATTTATAGCCATGAATTCGCTGTCAATTAAAAGCAAAATCACAAATTAATTGTCGAAATACAGTGAACCACTATAAAAGTGGTCGTAATGTAAGCATTGATAAAGTTATTTGAATGACTGGTTATCATATAAATAGATCCAAACCTTATTGGCGTCTATTTGACAAGAGATGGTTCGCTTAAGACTGTCTTTTTGTGCGTAAAGTTTCCAATCCTTGTCTCCAATGTTACGAACGGCTAAACGGATCCTCATCTGAACGGTTGAGTTGATGTGTTCGTCGACATCAATCTTCGAGTGTCTCTCCATTCGTGAGTCGTATAAGACTTCTGGGATAAGGATTGTCAGCAAATTCTGTTGCCATCGGCTGTAATCCAATTGAAAGCCTTCGCGTGGAAGCGGTAATTGATAGGCAAATGTTATGCCACTACAAGAGAATGGATCCATTGGTTAACAAAGTTGTCACTCATTATAGTGATTGTCAAACCTCTGAGTACTGGAGTCTTCGTCGATCTTTAGGCAGTTCTTCGGCTGCACCTGATTTGGTGTCACAGCGTCTCGAGGTATTGACAACTCGTTGGGGTTTTGTGCCAAACATTTGATGGCCAGTATCTGCTCTGTACTCGAAGGTGCCGGCGCTGGACATACCGGTGCACGTGATACACGTTAACCACTAAAGCATACCATTCATGTGATAATACATACCAATGAAGGCGCCGATGAAGAACGAGATTAACTGAATGACAAGAATAATGGATAAAACAATCGACAACTTCTTGTTCGAGAGGTTCTCGAGAATAGTTCCGGACATTGTCGTAGTGGTCGATGTCTTTGTGTCAATGCATTCAAATAAATCACATTTTCTGTGAAATGTATGGTTTGTGCACAAGAGTCGACTCAATCAGTGATTGTCTTATTGTCTTAAGTGGTGTACTCTCTGTCACAGTATATGTAATGCCATTCAATGCATACAATAGTGTTGGTCAGCAATGGCCACACCCTCCACAGCCACACCCACTCCACACACACCACACTATTCATATTGAGAGCACGCCTTTCCGCACATGCCTCCCATAACACCCCCTATACTGCTGTCATTTGTATGAATTTCTGGCGCCCCTCAATAATCCTGATGACATTTGCTTGAAAAATATACAGTAATTTACTTTGCATACAATTATTTGAAAACTTATTCAAAAGTTAGTCAAAAGTTATGATAGTGTTTAGACTTGAAAGCAATACATTTTCCGACTATAATGCAAACAAATTATAATTAAAAGTTAGAATAATATTTATTTTTAACACTATTTTAAAGTTTGCTTAAATTTTGTGTATAGTAAAATAAATATTTATTCAATTATCGCATTTAACAGTAAAACACATTCATTAGGCGTCAAGTTTCTGAGCACAGAATTATCGCCAAAAGTTAATGGGATTTATATTAGACTTATTCTTGTATTGAAAGCAATACAGGAACAGAAAATAGACTCAATTCCTGTAAACATAAAACAAACGCTACCATAATGTTAATTATTTGCAAATTATCAAGTCGATGTGTTTAATTTGTTTATTAGATCCATTAATTCAAACAACTCTTAAAATAACCCATTTTCTTACAACTTTCATTTTATTTTAATAATTAAAACAATATTTCACATGAAATATTTATTTGTAAGTTATAATCTGTACAGTATTCGCGTTAATGCATTGGTGAAGCTTATTATTGAAAAAACCTCAATATTTAGGTAAATTATTTCATTGGCATTATTGACAATACAGCAATTATTGATCTTGAGTGTTTTGTAAGATACAAATTGTAGTGAATGATTAAATTCATTGAATTCGATAAAACCTAAAATTACAATTGAGAGCAAAATACTAAAGAATCCGAATTACAATCACATAATATTACTCATTAGATAAAATGTTGATACCGTAATTTTATACCCGTTAATTAGTAACTGTACTGTACAATGACACAATTAATAGTTGTGTGAATTCTTAATGTAATTCATTGTATTTATGCTTATTCCATTTATGGGTATATTCAACAATTTATATTGAAATGCTCTCAAAATTCAATTCACTATACAATAGATTAATTTTTACATAATTTTAAACTTTATTGTAACCAAAGATCTATTGACTTAATTTAAATCTAATTCATGATTAATATATAATATATTTTCTTAAATTATATTATTTCCCATTAATTATAATACAAATGAAACTTAAAACAATTAATTGTGAAAATAAACTTCAAAATAGGAATAAAAGTGGAAACAGAATCTGGAATAAAGTGATATATAATTAACAAATCGTGTCATTAGAATAGGAGGTCCTCGTCGTGGGTGTCAGCAAATAGGTTGGGGCCCTCCCGCTCCTGGTCCAGCCCCTGAGCCGCTCTCAACTTCTTGACCTTCTCTTCTTCCGCTCTAATCTTTTTCTTCTTTTCCTGTATTTTCTTAAGTCTATAAAACTCTTCTCTTTCTCTTTCATCCAATTCTGATGTAATGTAAGTGAGAGTGGACTCAATCCTGGGAATCACCACATGTTCTAAAGCGTTAACTCTTCGGTTTGTGATCTGAGTTGTGGTCAAAAACAAGTATTAAGTCAAGAATCCAATGAATGAATGTCTCCTCAAAGCCATACTTTGATCACTTCGTCCAGAGTTATGAAACTCGTCTGAAGAGATGCTAAGTCGACGAGCAGTTGTACGGCTCGCGCGTAATTCTTCTTGAGTTTAGCCAACTGTTGGCCACCTCTGGCCAGACCTGCGAACTCGTGGACATCACTGCCGTCTTGATAGCACTCAAACACCGGTAGCGTAACGCCCGCCACGTTGTCCTTCTTGCACTTCACCTGTGTTTCAACGCAAGACATCACCACATGTGAGACCAAACAACCACGTCATCCATGGTTCACATCATCTCACCTTTATCTGGGCTTTCGTGACATTCTGGAGGACAATGGCATTGAAATCACTTCCAACAGTGAACTTGGCTTCGGCTAAACTAAACGACGCCTCTTTCATCACTTCTCCCATCAATGACTTTGTCTGCCATTAGATTATCTCAATTAAGATCACATACAAACACAATGGTATCGTTGGCCACAAACCTCGACAATCTTCTTGAGAATCATTCTGAACCTCAGCTGAAGAGCGTCCGCCTTCTTCTTCAGCAATGAGTGACCCTTTTGTGCGCCTTTGAGGCGAGCCTTCATCAGAGTCTGTGCCCTAAGTCACCATCAAATCAAAGATTAACAAAAGAGATATCAATTACTGTTAGCCTTAGATCTAATCGATGGTAAGTTTGCATACATTCTGGAGGGAAACACAGCGATCCTATCCTTTGCACTCATATTGTCTTAGATATGACGCCAACGAATGTCTCAATTAAACAGATATGAAGTGAAGGAAGTGATGGTCAGATGTGTGAAGACTTGTGAAGACGACTCAATTGATGGCAAATCACAACAAATTACTCCCACTTTGAGTGATAGGACTGTTTGGACGACAAGTAGTGACGACTGGTTTGCATTCAATTCAACACTATTTGTGAGACAATCCACTCTTTGAACGCTTGTCTCGTTTGATTGGTTCCGTGGATTCCGTCGATAATATCAGTGGCCGTTGTCTGTGAGACAAACCCATGAAGTGATCCCAAGTGGTGACCGGAGATGTCTGTGGACTCGTCTCTGTTTGTGTTCGCCCTCTTCGACACCTCCGCTCTTCTCTTTCTAACCGTTTATATCGTAAATGCATTTCATTTTCACTTATTCTTTAAGTAACCCATTGTCTGATCCACAGGTGATAACATTAAGTGACTTGGAGTGCGATTATCTGAACGCTCAGCAGTGCTGTAATAAACTAAATAAGGTATGCATTGATTGACACTACCGTTGATGTCATACTAATGAATGGTGTATGTCTTGGAATGGCACAGTGGGTGATACCGGAACTCATATCGTATGCAATTCTGGTGATATTGCTCTTATTTACGAACCATTGGTTCATATTCCTACTGAACGGACCAATGCTGGCATGGATTGGCCACAAGTGAGTAGCGATGCATGTGTTGACTCAAGTGTCACTGGACTGAATCCATGGTGTCTTATATCAGGTACTACTCCATCCCGAAGGGAAACATTGGTTTCTATGACGCGACTGAAGTCCACAACAGAGGAAATCTCAAACATCTCATGAAGTTCTCAATGATTCGTCTGGCCTTTCATTTGATCCATTTCTTCATATACTTGTATTGTATGATAATTGCATTGTTGACCAATCAATAGATGATCACTTCATCCAAAATCATTAACTCATTAATTCTCGGATCAAGTTCTCGGAACAACTCTTTATATTTTAGTTTTTTATTTAATACTTAATCTGATATTTATTTAATAAAAATTACTTAATTTACAAATCAATTATTATGTGCACAGAATGTCACAGTTTTCTACTCATGAACTACAATGTCGAATTGACCATGGTTTAGTTTGTCATAACAACAACTAGTGTATTAAGTCAAAAGATCCTAATTTGTTCAATTGGAAACTTATATAAACTATCAAATAATACATACAAAAGTGAGTCATTTAACTTTAACCCATAAGTTGAATGAATATAATTAGTATACAGTATTAAAAGTTAAAATAAATAAATAATTATTGAATTCTTGGAAAGTTCTTTAATTGTTACAATGCAACATAAATTTACAAGTATTAGTCTACCATTTATTGGTATTGGTATACTAACATTTTCTAATGTTTTCTAAAGAACTTTCAAAAGTAATGTACGGTAATAAGATTTATTTACCAGTTAAATCTTTTCAATAAAAATATATAATAAACTAAGACATAAGTCTAAATACATATCTCTTTGAAATCCAAGCTTACTGTTTAGGATGTTGTAAGAGATTTTAAGTTTCTTTGCGGAAATTAGGCATAAAATACAAAAGTGATACAAATGTCAACAAGGTGCATTTCATTATAATAATATAGTTTAACATAGTTAGTATTAGGTAGGTGTATAGAACAGAATTACACACTTATACTGTATCTATGATACCAACATGTTACTGTATCAGCAAGTTTTAGTTGTTATGTTGGCTAACAATTAGTTTTAATTTCTTTATCAAATAAACTAAGTATATGTGAGCTTTGTATTGAGATAACAATCAAATAAGTTGTTTACCGTTAAGCATAATATCAGTTTGAGTACAGTATTCAGAATATTAAGAACTTTGTAATGTTCATATTATGAATGATAACTGTGGTTAATACTGTAAAAGTAGAATTCATTAGTATGTGAATGACATTTGTCCATTTAGTTGACTTGAAGGTTTTTGAAATTTATTGAGTAGGTTTATATAATAATAAATTCTTTGAATCATTCACAAACCAGCGTTCAACACACAATATATTGAATCTATTCCATATCATCATGTCATAAATATACAATATCACAAATTGTGAATCACAATAATGTTGAGAACTTGAAATTGAATACAGAGTTGGATATTCTAGTATTTAATAGTAAGACTACATGTAAGGTTGATGTGATGCATATAATGTTATGCACAAACAAACCGTTCATTTGGCAAATCTAAATCAAATCATTTGCTAGGCTATGGCTAATAGTATTGTATGCAGTGTTTGTCATAAGCTGTAAACCTATGCGAAGGTGCAGTCAATTAAATACTGTTTACTTGTGAACACTCGCCAAATGGTATTCAAGTGATTCAATGGTTTGTCAATAATTGTTACCGTATTTTGCTTTCATTTCATATTTAGATGGCAATCGTAATAACAATTATGATTATCACACAACATGTTTACTATATTTGACATATTTCTATAATTATTCATTCATTATATGCTTTAATAACCATTACTGCAAACAATTAGCATTTATTTTGTATAACAATGCATTCAATTTGTATTTAATTTGTATTTTATGACAATTTAATGTTTCATTTGTCTGAAGATTATATAAATTGAGTGCAATTTCAACGGTTTAGTGAACATCGGTCTAAATAAATACATTTTTCATACTAATTATGTAAACAATTTAGACATTCATTGCTTTCATTTGTCTTCAAAATTGTAGATATTTTTGAGTTTAATTTAAATTACTTTTTGTTTTTAGATTTGAAACCAATTTGGGGTGAAAACGAGTTTTAAGTAAATCTTAAAATACATTTGATTTAATAGTAAGTAAATAATATTTGAAATCATTTGCTAAACATATAAGTAATGCATTGAATTGTGTCTCAAAAATGTTTACTTTTGTCGTCAGAATTGAAGCCTATTTTGTGACCAGAATACGGTAGTTAAACTTCTGGTGTCTGTTCTCTCCTTACTCAAGAAGTTTACTGTGGTTTTCCCCAGTAAACCGAGAGTTTTCTCGGCTCTTAATGTAAGTGTTACTATACTCACAACTCAGGTCTGATTTGGTATGTCTTATGAATCGGTCGGCGATTTGTCTTCCGATGAACGAAAGGATAGAGCCGTTGACTGCTTCTGAAGTGCTGAACAAAGTATACCAACAATTAGGTGATCAGAACATCGATTCGGAAAAACAGTTGACATTTGATTCAAAATATAAGCAGTTGTTTGCCATTTGGGTGACCTCTGCATACTTAGAGCTACAGTTACAGCCAACGCACCGACCATTCACTGTGTTGGCCAACTGGGACTCACTTCTTGAAAAGCACGGACCCATTGAACTCGTGACTGACCCGCAACTCATCCGAAAGGATGAGCCAAACCTGAGTTTCCAACGAAATGTTTTTTGTGACAAATCACTGGAGATTCAGATCGAAGACACAAATATCGGTGCTCTTCGGCTCCTCTACTATGAGGCCAAACTTAATGTATTGGACGGAAGGTATCCGTACGAAGACTACGAAATGTTGGCTGCCATTCAAGCGGCCATAGAGTTGGGACCATTTGAGGCAAACGTACATTCGGTTCACTACTTCCGACAGCGTCTGAATGAATACATTCCCTGCAATTACATGAAATCCGGTGATATAATCAATGGTTTGATACGAACTCTGAGTCGAGGCTCAGTAACCACTCGTTGCGCCCAAAAAATTGTCGATAAATATAGAGATATTTCTAACCAAAAATTCACTGAATCCAAGCAATTGAGAACATATTTAGACATATGTCGACAAATTCCGGTTTGTTATTGGGTAAATTTAATTAAAAATGCTAGAGAACTTTATTATAACATAAGGAGAATTCCGAATGCCTTCGCGAATGAAAAGCCGTGTTTAGCTTTCTGGGTAAGCTAGCTCAAAGCGCAGAAACTACTCAGTAAATGACCTCAAAGTATGGGTTGCCGTCAATAGGGATGGTCTGCATCTCATATCCAAAGAGAAACCGGTCAGTCATTCAGTCATTCAGTCATTACACCATTAAGTCGTGTCATTGTCCTCTAAATCGATGCTTTATTATAGGAATTGTTGCTTTCGATTGATTACAACGACTTGTGTTGGGCTATAGGGTGTCCACAGGACTCTTCTGATCCCAATTGCATTCCCTGTCTTTTCATTCAAATTCCCGAAGAAAACAACAAAAACAACACTATTTTGCAGATATTCTCGCGTCAGTACAAACTCATTGAACAGATCCTTAACTCGTTTATAGACGACGCGAAGAAGTCTTTATCTGTAGATCACGTGTCGTGTGATGTGGTTGACGGCGGAGGACCCCTTTCGGCTGAATCAGTGTCCACTCCCTTCTCGTTCGGTTCAAATTCAAAGACATTGNGTGATGTGGTTGACGGCGGAGGACCCCTTTCGGCTGAATCAGTGTCCACTCCCTTCTCGTTCGGTTCAAATTCAAAGACATTGAACCGGAAGAAGCTATCATTAGCCACATTCGACAACTCCGGTCACTGTATCAACAAAACTGGTTCATGGGTTAGATCACAGCACAGGCGGACAATCAATTGATTCACTTTTGGTAGTTTACAGTCTATTGTATTTATACTAAAATATGATATAATTCATTGCAAATACATTAATTTATACGGTAAAGTACATAGAATCTATAATTTTGTCTAAAATTATTATAAAATGTATTAATTTTAATAAACTTTGAATACTTAATAAACGCTTTTATTGTGATTATATTGAATGCCTTTAATCGATGATCTAATTTGAATCCAAATGAAGTCATCGTTGTTTTCAACGATGCTTTCTTTGGTGTGATTGTCATTAAGTGTCAGTACTTGTGATAACTCTTCGCTTAACTCTGTGTCCAAATTTCTATCCACTTCTTGAGCCTCAGTTTCGTCTAATATTTCAAATGATTTGTCTGAAAGTGGAGTACAATTGCATTGTTTTTGTTTGAGAATCAGTTGAAATCTGTTCCCAAATTTGGGTACTTTATAGTCCACATGAGGGGTGAACAGTGGCTCAGAGTGATCGCCCATTTGATCCGTTTGGTGACACTGAACCTCGTGGTCCATCACTTGTTTGGCGTAGCAT